CGTGCGTTTTGCAACGTGTCGCAATCACAAAATCGGAGCATCGTCCGAACGTTCATTTGCAAATGTCTTTTATTCTTTTTTCCTTTTCTTTTTCCTATTTTCTCATATCATTTATATATAATATAAGAAACAATAAAAGTTTATTGCGTTTAATTTACATTATGTGCGATATTTTTGTCGCCTCGGATAATTCCCAGTTTATTATTCAGGCAAGAACGGAATTTCGTGTAAAATGCGTTACAACTAGCGGAACGGTTGTTCGATATAATGCGATGATAACGGTTGCCGTTTAAGATATTAAGGAACGTCGAAGATAATTAAACAAAATGTGCGTGCGTGTGTCACCGATACCGTGTAATATCCTTCCTAATCATAATGCTTTTTCGATACGAAATAATATATCGTATTTATGTAACTTTTCTTTCAAGAAACGAAAAAAATGCGTGCGGGTTCGACTATTCGAATCGTTTCCAGATTATCACACAAGTCTTAAAGATACGATTTCAGAGACCCAATAGACTCGTAGGATGCGTCGATTCTGTATGGGAATCCAAATCTCGGTCGTGCGAACATTATTATCATTAATCTGTAGTGACATAATATCGTTTTATTAACATATTTAGAATTAATACGTGAATAATTACCGAAGATTGATACGGCAATCGCAACAGCGCTCTGTGTAGCTTATAAATACGTACGTACATACGTACACACACACACACACACACACACACACACACACACACACATGCACGCGCACACGCGCGCGCGCACACACACACACAATACAAATACATACGTACCCGCGCGTGCGTATATATACATTTCATATATANTGTACAATATTTCTCTCCCATCGTTTTCCCCTATTCCTTTTTTCTTTGATGATACGACCTGTTTTCAATGGTAATTAGGTTAATGATAATATCATACTAATAATGGTTTAAAAAAAGGAATGTAATAACAATGTATTTGTGAAGATTCACAAAAAAGACGTTTCGTGTTCTTTAATCATTATTTGCACTGTTTTTCGTCTCACTCAAGTTAATTGCTTCCTATTGAATCCCTTCTCCCATTCGACTATTACCCTGTATAATATCATCCAATCTATATTACCTTAACGATATTTTTTACCTTTTAAAGAAATTGTTCGCCCCCGTAAAGATTGGGTAAACGGATGTGCGCTCTATCTGGCTTCCTGCGTATCGCGCGTTACAAACGTGTCGTGATCATTGAACCCACGATATTGACAATCCCTGGATATATATTCGTATACACGTATCGACTTCGTTTTCATGTCGCATTCTTTAAAAGAAAAAAAAATAAATAAATATGCGTATTATTTTATATCCGCGCAATTACGTTCTTGTATTACCCATTTTCACATTATAAATGCGGAAAAAAATTTATTTTTTCATTTTGTTTTTTTATTACATTTGTGCAAAAATCTAATACGCAATTAATATAAAGACAAATATTAATTTCAATACTTATATTCATTACTCCATTATCGTATAAAGTAATGTTTCTCGTTTAAAAACATTATTATTAAAAAAATATTTAAAAAATAATATAAATAAACTTACCCAGAATAACGCGAACAATGGTTTTTTAAATTTGTGTATATTTTCCACTTCATATATATCGTGTTATTTTATTATTTTACATATTCTTTTTTTATACATTTATTAATATATATATATATATATATAATTGATAACATTGATACAATTGATATAATGATACATTGTTTAACTTTTTCTTTTCTATAAATTAATACTTAGTCATTCGTGAAAAATAGATTTTTCTTTATGGTAATGAATAATTTTATTAATAATTCTATTTAACGATAGTTATAATTGAATACAATCGAATACAATAGTTATAATTGAATTACAATCGAAAGATTCAAACTATTCAGATTAAATCCTTATATTTTTACAAAACTAAAATATGAAAAGAATTTATGATAAAATGATTGTTGTTAACATAGATATATAATATTAATTAAAGGTATTTTTAGACATGAAAGAAAAATGAATTTTAAAGAAATAAAAAAGAAAAAAATTTTTTTTAACAAATCCAACTGAATTTTTCCTTTTATATGAATAGACGCAATTTATATATATCTTGCAATGCTTGATATTACGTGATTAAAAATATATGCGACTTATGTGCTACGCGATCAGATAGATATATCAATGCAAATTAATCAATGAATCGAGCAAAAAAAATATATGTAAATACATATATATAACATCATCGTGTTCGGGATTTGAATATGGAAAGCGCAATTTTCTCCCATATTTGATGAATATTTGATAAATCAAGTCGTCGAAGATTATATTCTCTACGAATAATACGTCGATTGAAATATTTATGATAATTTATATACGTTGATTCTCTATGGTTTTTAGAAACATATTCCATAATATTTATTACTCGATAATATTGTTTCGCCATTAAACTCGAAGCAATTGCAATCGTTCAAGCCGAAATGCATCGTGCGGGTTTATCGAAATCTATGTAAATTTAAAAAAAAAAATCAATGGTATAAGAATTTCCGTGCCAAATTGTTGTTGGAAATTATGTACGAATCCCTCCACGAAACTACTGAATAATATATAAATGTATACTTTACTCGATAATTTTATAATAAAAAAATATGTGACGCGCGTCTTTTGAAAAAGTGAAAATTAAAACAAATATATGTACGAATTAAAGGAAAAAAACAAATAAGGAAGAAACTTAAGGTGCAATAAAAATATATTATCGATAATGTGTAGAAATCGGGAAGACACACATAATGTGAGCATTGAATAATAATTATAATTATAATTGTTCATATGCGTGAAAATCGTTCTCGTATCGGGTCATTGTCAATTATCAAAAAAAGTGATAAAAAGACGCGACGCAGAGAAATTTAAAAAAAATATTATGCATATTGTAATATGATGTATGATATAGGACACGATAGACCCCTGCCTCATATCGCTTCTGGACGTGGAAGGAGTCTGGACTTTGATGGTGTCGATAACGAAGAGAAAAAGTAAGAGAAAAAAGATAAACATAAAAAATAAGGGAGGGAAAAAGAAAACAAAACAAAAAAGAAAGAAAGAGAAAAATAAATACAACGACGTATATCTTTTGTGATGAGATGTAATTATCGACCAGGACAACTTCTATACTTCATTGAGAAAGAGAGAGACGCCATGGCTGACAAAGATGATGGTGAATGATGATGAATATGGCACTATAGATCCCATTCTGGATAAATATGTGGGTGTAAACTACATTGTACCTATAAGGCAAGTTTACTCAGTATCATTCTGATTAGCGTGAAAACGCAAAATGAAAGCAAACAATTGTATTTTTTCTCAAAATATTAAAATTCATAGCCTTTTTGCAAGCCGAACTTTTTGAGAGTCATGTTTTCTTTCTTAGGAGATGCGGCAGTATGCACGTATATACATTCAAACCTGCAATACGAAGAACTTTGTGAATTAGGTGTCCAGAATTTAAGCATTGGATGTGATGATACTGCAAATTTATTCATCGCAATATTTTTCCGTATTATACTAATATTGGATTTTTTCATGATTTTCTTGAATATATGAAAACATAAGAAGGTATTGTAAGAAAGTAAAATCCTACTGGTCTTTCTTGTTATTCCATTTTGCATTATTTTATATCATAATAATTGTATAATATTTACGCATTTCATTGTTTAAATTCGCCGTTTTACATTCCTATATTTTTTATTTTTATATTGATCTCTTGAATATCATAATCATATCATATATAAATTAAATAATTTGTATTCTTCCTTAATCCCTATTCTTCTTTAATTCCTATTTTTTTTTTTTTTTTTATTATTAACAACTCTGTTTAAAGGCAATTTGTACATACATGTTATATATATTAATGAATATTAATAAAAAATTGATTTTTAAAATGTATAAATATCTTATAAAAAATTTTCAAATATTGATATATAATCAATATTTATTATTTGAATTATTGATAACATTTATCTTTCTACGTATATAATGGACTTGATCGAATTTTGCGGTAAGTAAGTTTAATATTAAATTAAATTAATAATTTATAATATATATATAAAATAATATATAAAGTATATATAAAGTATATCAAAATATGAAAAAATGAGCAAAGAAAGTACGGTAAATAACTATTAATTAAAAAAAAAATATATATATATAATTCTCTAATAAATATTATCTGTGTGTAAATGATTGAATAATTAATATAATTATACATAAAGTACTTCGTTAAATGGTAACTATATTGCAAGTTTGAAAATATTTTGACATTATTTTATGTATGTATATATATGTTTATATATATAAAACTGATATTATTCATTCAAACTATATAACATAAAAATATAATAGTTTTTTTTTAAAATTTTCATTTTGATTAAAAATTTATTCTTTTAAATTTCTTATTATATAAAATTTTTATAAATGACCTAATTTGTAAGTAAAATTTGTAGTAAAATAAAAGTTCAAAAAAGAAAAAAGTAATGATAAAAGAAAAAAAAATAATGTATATTATAGGCTATTATTGAATCGATTTTATGATGAAAAAAATATACATAAATATGAAATAATGCTTAATGTGCATTAAATAATATCAGTCTTTTATAAATTAGCTTATTTAATAATAATTCAATATTATATTCATTTGATATTGTATTTATTTGATAATTATATAATGAAAAATTTTCATTTTAATGAAAATCAATGTGATTATGTTAATCAATATGATGATTCTTAAATTCTTAAATTTATATTCAATAATTTGTATTAATATTCATCGAATTTTCATACACGCACACATATCCGCGCGTATATACACTATAAATAATAAATATAATATATAGTATAAATAATAAATATAATAATATTTATATATATAATAATATTCAATTGATCTATAAAAAGTAATTACTATTATTGTTTAATATAATATTTTAATATAAACATGATATTATGTGCACGTGATATCTTTCGATTTTGCAACAGCAAGTAAGAAATATTTCTGTTGCGGAGTAGTGGCATATCGTTTATATTCATATGTTGCAAATTATTTCTTGAAATTTATTAAAATAGTAACAAATGGCGTTAGACTTACGGTATGATAATTTGTAATATTATGATAATTTTGATTTTTTATTTTAATTAGAATTAAAAATATTTTAATTCAAAATAGAGGTTATATTAAAGTATGTTTCACATGTACATGTTTGATTATATCTTTATAAGTATATTAATTTTTATCTTTTGAATTTCGTTAGAAATTGAGATAAAAATAATATGTTGTTTTTAATAATATATGTAATTAATTTATATCTTTGAAATTTATATATAACTAAAATATATTGTGATTGGAAAAATGTAGATAGGTTATATGACAAATTCTTACTATGAGTATACTCAAATTTTTTTTTTTTTAATATAGAAACTCATATTTAGAAAGAATGATAAAAAAAAAATATGTGCATATATTTATATATCTAAATCAATTTATTCTGAATATAAAATAATCATATTTGTAATATGTTTTAATAAAATCTATTTATTCTACATGTGATCAAAATAATTTTACAATATTTCAGGGAGGGTATTCTATTAGGTATGGGTAATCCTCTTCTTGATATCTCAGCAACTGTAGATAGCAATTTTTTAAAAAAATATGATTTAAATGCAAATGATGCAATTCTTGCTGAAGAAAAACACAAACCCATGTACGATGAATTAATTGAATTGTATAAAGCAGATTTTATTGCTGGTGGTTCTGTACAAAATACTATGCGAGTAGCACAAGTAAATATATATAAATATATATATTTTGATATTTTTGTAATTTAACATTATTTATATAATCATATATAGAATAATGTTAATTATATTAAATTATAATATTTATTATAATATATAATTATATAATTATAATTATATTAAATAATGTTAAATTATTAGAAATATCAAGTATAAAATATTTTGCAGTGGTTCCTGGGGAAACCAAATATTGCAACTTACATGGGTTGTGTTGGGATGGATAAGTACTCAAAAATTTTAGAGGATAGAGCACGTGCAGATGGCTTAAATGTTCGTTATCAATATACACAAAAAGAACCTACCGGTACTTGTGCAGTTCTTATTACAGGAAATGAACGTTCCTTGTGTGCCAATTTGGCTGCAGCTACATGTTTTTCACTTTCACACATAGAAGAAACTGAAAATAAAAATCTTATTGAAATTGCTGAATATATTTATGTTTCTGTATGTATAATGTAAAATATTTCTAATATTTTTATATTATTATATATCGAATATTATTGAATGTTGAATTTTAGGGTTTTTTCTTAACTGTAAGCCCAGAAACAATTCAAGTAATTGCTAAACATGCTTTTGAAAAAAATAAAATTTTTATAATGAATCTTAGTGCACCATTTTTATGCGAATATTATAAAAAACCAATGTTGGCAGCTCTTCCTTATGTTGATATCTTATTTGGTAATGAGGTGGAAGCTGATGCATTTGCAAAAGCAAATGATTTTCAAACTACAAATAGAAAGGAAATTGCTTTAAAATTATCGCAAATGGAAAAGATTAATAGAAAAAGGCAAAGAATTGTTATAATAACCCAAGGTCCTGACAATATATTAGTTGTAAAAGATAATATTATAATGGAATTTGCCGCTATGAGACTTCCAGAAGAGAAAGTTGTAGATACTAATGGAGCAGGTGATGCATTTGTTGGAGGTATATTTTTTTTTATATAATTACATTATATGACATTAAAACTTTTATAAACTTTATATATTAATTAATATATGTAATTTTTTCAAAAAATTATCATATATTATATTATTTTCAGGTTTTTTAGCTCAATTTGTTCAAGGTAGAAGTATAGAAGTTTGTGTGAGATGTGGAATTTGGGCTGCAACTCAAATTTTACAGAGATCTGGATGTACTTACGAAGGGAAACCTAATTTTACTCCTTGACAATGCTTAAATCGATTAGTTAATTATAAATTCTGTACTTATACACACATACACACATATATATGGGTGTGTGCTTGTTTGTTTGTTTGTTTGTTTATGTATATATATATAATTTATATAATATATATATAATTATACAATCAAAATGTATAATATGTATATATGTATTTATATATACATATAATAATATGTATATGTATATATGTATATATATATGTATAATAAATATTTTATCAACTTTTTTACCTCGATTTTTGTTTAATTTAACAAATTAATTTATCGAGTGAATATTTTTCATACTTTTAAAATTTTCATTCTACTGATTAATGATAAATGTGGATAATAAAAATAAGAAAACGAGCGATATAATAAAATTTGGAATTAAATACAAAATAAATTATCAGCATTATTATTAATTATAGACAGTTTTTAATAATATTAATTGATTAATATCTTATAACTGAAAAAAATAAATATTAAATTCATATGAAGAATAATTTTAATAAGATAGATATATTAATAAAAGAACTTAATGATTTAATTAATGTTAATTTGTTTGTATTTTATGATATTAGTAATTCTTCGTTAAGATGATAAAGTAACAAATAATTGATATAATATTAAATTATTTTATTCGAAGATTATGTTATTTACAACTAATTCATCTAAAATATAATATAATAAATATACATGCAATCACCTTCGCACAATAATTTTTTCAATATTGTTATGAAATATGAATTTCTTAAAGCGATCAGAGAATGATGCGATGGCGCAATATGCTTGCGTCGGATAATAGATATAGTACATGCATACGTGTAGATAAAAAATTATAAAGCAGATCAAAAAAGAATGGATGTAATATTTGAAAAAATTATTTCTTTAGAAATTGTATAATATGTATTCTATTCATATAATTAAATGGACGAAATAATATATTTATTATGAAGAAGATAGAAATCTTACATTTTTTCCGAATTTTTTTCTATCGAAATTTTCTATCAAATTTTTTAAATTATAATTTTTAATATATTTTTAAATTCATTTTTTAAGTGAAAATTAATTATATTTTTTGAATTTATTTTATGTATAAACTGATAAAAATTATATTAAAAAAATATTTGAAAGAAAAATATTATTAAATATCTCGATAATTTCATGAAAAGAGAAAAAAAAAAAAAGAGAAACAATAGTTTATATAAAATGATATTATAATAAAACGAAATGTTAATATTTATAAGTACATGGTTCAAAAGCAGAAAGATACGATCCTGAAAACTCGTTGACAAAGCTTCTGTACAGCGTCATATAGCAGATGCGCGTGTGTGATGTGAGGAACTGATTGGGAATGGTCAAAGTGATCGCAAGCAAATGACGGCCATAGTGAAGGTAAGAAGTATGATTAAAGAAATGACGAACCGCATATATAAATATTGGATATTTTTAATAATAATAGCAATTATTAATCTAATTTTTAACATACGCTTTTATTATACTATATACTCCCGCGCTTTAAATGTTTTATTCCAGATATCCCATAAGATACAATGTAGATATACAAAAATAATGCGCATGTGTGCGCGCGCGCCAGAAACGAACGAAAAGCGAGGCACGTGTGACCGGTAATGAGAGTGTACGAGTTAAAGTAAACGGTTTGATTGGTCGACGAAAACGTGTGCCCCTACGACTGTTTCGTGATTTCGCCGTAACTGTGAGCGCGGTGTGCGCAGTGCGCTCCCCACCGCGTGCGCGCAGTGTGTAACCCCCGCGACCGCCATCTTTGTCAAGTGGGTAACCTTTGTTGATTTGTGTGAAATGTGACGCCGTTGTTGCGAGATAATTAGTGATCGTGATTGAATATCCTGTGTACGAGTATCTAGTGATCTATGTGGATTTCACTGTGGATTTATACATGGAATTACTAGGATCAGGTAAAGCAATTAGTCTTTCGTTATACCTTGCAAGAGAACCACGCGAATTATCGGACGCATACGGGCTAGCGGGTCGGGCCGCCAGTTCGTGAAAGAGTGAGAGGGAGAGAGAGTGAG